GTCACGTGGTCCTTTGGCTGCGGGGCGAGGCGGGGCAGCGGGGGCATCCGGGGCCCTAGGCGGAGGCCGGATGGCCCCCCGACGCTCTGGCAACGGTGCTGACAGTAAACCAACGCCCCATAGCGCTGGGGCGCTCGACTCTCCTAACAGTGGTGCGTGCGCCTAGCAAATGCACGCTGAAGGCTGGGGCCAAGACAGCTACGCGCCGGGGGGGCGAGGCCGACGTGAAAAGTGCGCAAAGAATCGCTCTCGGGCCCCGGGGCCCGCAGAAACGGCCCTGGGGCGGAAAAACTGCGCCGGATGGGCTCTGGGGGAAGTCTGCAGCGGATTTTAGTAAGTCCCGTCAGCCCTCTGGGCGCAGGTGGTCTAGGGCGTTTCCTTTTCCTCTCCCTGCTTAGGAGGTTTCTGCCGCCCCTGATTCGCTGGCTCCCCTGCTGAGCGTTTCTGGATGGGCTGGCGGGGATTCTATGTTCGCAATCGCAAGCGGACAGCCCCCGCGGCGTCAAGGGGTCGAACGCAAACTGGCCGCTGGTGGGGTATTTTTTTGGCCTGCGAGCGACGCAGGCGGCTGCGCGCGGTCCAAGAAGTCGCAAACCAGGAAGAAGGGCCGGGTCACTACGCGGACGCCGCAAGAGGGGCGACGACAGGAAAAGGCGAAACTAGAAATAACAAGCGGAAGAGGCGAAAGAGAAATGACAAATACGAGAGGAGCGAGGCGGAACAAACGCGGGGGGAGGGGTGAACTTGCCGCAGCTCAGGATCAGGCCACGTCGAGGACGAAGCCCCTTGCCGAGGAGCCGGAACTTGTACTGGAGCGCCATGTCAGCCGCTGGCGCCTTCGGTGGAGCTCCTTATGGGGCCACGTAGCGCTATACTGGGTGGGTGAAAATGCCGAATTTGATGTTTCGGGACGCATGCGGACGGTGGCACTGACGCCAGCTCCCTATGGGGCCACGAAGCGTTGTATTGGGTGGGTGAGACGCAGGGAGGAGGGAGGAGGGTGAGGAGGGGGAGGGAGGAAAGATGAGAATGCGGTGGCCGTTTTTTCAAAATGAGGACCCAACACCACAGGATGGTTGGACACAAATATCCAGGCGAAGGACCCAACCTATGCAGTTGTGGGTACCGCAATTGTGAATATTTTCTTCGGTGAAGCTCCCTATGGGGCCACGAAGCGCTGCACTGGGTGGGGGGGAACGCATGCGGGCGGCAGCATTGGGGCCGTCGGTGGAGCTCCCTGCGGGGCCACGAAACGCTGTACTGGGTGGGTGAGAATGCCAAATTGGGTGTTTGGGGCGCGCGCAGACGGTCCCACTGGGGGCTTCGGTGGAGCTCCCTATGGGCCACGCAGCGAGGTACTGGGTGGGTGAATCTGCCAAATTGGGCTTCCGGGACGCATGCGGACGGTCCCATTAGGGGTTTTGTGGAATTCCCTATGTAGCCACGAACCGTTGTATTGTGTGGGTGAAAATGCAAAGATCGATGTTTCGGGACGCATGCGGACGGTCCCACTGGGGGCTGTGGTGGAGCCCCCAATGGGGCCACGAAGCGCCAGATATTGTGTGGGTGAAACTGCCAAATTGGGTGTGTGGGGCGCATGCGGACGGTCCCACAAGGGGGCTTCGGCGGAGCTTCCTATTGGGGCCACGAAGCGCTGTACTGGGTGGGTGAATCTGCCAAATTGGGCGCGTGGGGCGCATGTGTGCGGTCCCATGGGGGGTTTCGGAGGGCCTTTTCGGAGCCACGAAGCGCTGTATTGGGTGGGTGAAGGTGTCAAATTGCGTATGCGGGACGCATGCGGGCGGTCCCACTGGGGGCTTCGGTGGAGCTCCATGGGGCCACGAAGCGCTGTACTGGGTGGGTGAAAATGCCAAATTGGGTGTGCGGGACGCATGTGGACGGCCCCACTGGCCACGAAACGCTGTACTGGGTGTGGCAGACGCATGTGGCCACCCCCACCGGGGCCTCCGATCGGGCTCACAATGTGGCCACGAAACGCTGTACTGGGTGTGGCGGGCGCATGTGGTACCCCTAGTGGGGCCGTACGTGGAACTTTCTATGTGGCCACGAAACGGTGTATTGGGTGTGGCGGACGCATGTGGTACCCCCACTGGGGCCCTACGTGGAGCTCCCTATGGGGCTACGAAGCGCTGTACTGGGTGTGGCGGACGCATGTGGTACCCCTATTGGGGACGTACGTGGAACTCTCTATGTGGCCACGAAACGGTGTATTGGGTGTGGCGGGCGCATGTGGTACCCCCACTGGGGCCCTACGTGGAGCTCCCTATGGGGCTACGAAACGCTGTACTGGGTGTGGCGGACGCATGTGGTACCCCCACAAGGGCCTCACGTGGAGCTCCCTATGGGGCCACGAAGCGCTGTACTGCCGCATGTGGTAGCCCCCACCCGGGGCTTTACGTGGAGCTCCCCATGGGGCCATGAAACGCTGTAGTGGGTGTGGCAGACGCATATGGTAGCCCCCACATGGGGCCTTACGTGGAGCTCCCCATGGGGCCATGAAGCGCTGTAGTGGGTGTGGCAGACGCATGTGGTACCCCCCACTGGGGCCTTACGTGGAGTTCCCTATGGGACCACGAAGCGCTGTACTTGGTGTGGAGGACGCATGTGGTACCCCCACCTGGGGGGGGGCACGGGAGGAGGAGGAGGAGACGCGGGGACCGTTTTTTTCATTTGTTTTTGTTTGCTCCTCCAAAACGAGGACCCAACACCACAGGATAGTTGGGAACAACAACCTCTACAGGGGAGGGAGAGGGCGCTCCTCCCCGCAGGGAACAAGGGTGCTGGAAGGGGACAGAAAAAACATATCGTTTGACCGCCTGCGCCCAGAGATTCTGGCCCTGGGACTGCGGACGCAGCGTAATTTGCAAAGGATCGTGGCTTTTGGAGCGCGGACGCACGATCTTTGAATCGTGGCCCTGGGCGCGCTGACGCAGCGTAATTCACGACGGATCGTGGCCCTGGGAACGCGGACGCAGCGTAATTTACGAGTGATCGTGGCCCTGGGAGCGTGAACCCAACGAACTTTACAAGGGGTCGGAGTGCACACGCAGCATCTGTGCGTTGGCGCGTTCCGTGACACGTCCCCTCTCGCGTACCTTGGCACGCCCTCTGGCTTGCGCGTCCCTTGACACGTTTCGCGGCGCATCCCATGCCACGTCCCTTGGCGCGTTCCTTGGCGTGTCCCTTGGCGCATCCATTGTCACGTCCCCGTCCCTGGGCGGGCACACTGCAACGTCACCTGGCACGTCCACTGGCGCGTCCCGTGGCACGTTCCCTGGCTCGTCCATTGGCGCGTTCCTTGGCTCATCCCCTGGCGCTTCCCCTGCCCGTTCCGTGGCGCGTCCCTTGCCACGTCTCCTAGGCGCGTCCCCTGGGACGTCTCCTGGTATGACGTGCCCCGACGCAGCCCCTGGCACGTCAGCTCTCGCGTCCCCTGGCACGTCCCGTGGCTCGTCTTCCTTTCCCTGTTTTGTCCCCCGGCGCTTCCCATGCCAGTTCCGTGGCTCGTCCCCTGGCGCGTCCCTTTGCGACGTCCCCTGGCGTGACGTCCCATGGCACGCCCCTCGACGCGTCCCGTGGCACGTTCCCGTGGCACGTTCCCTGGCTCGTCCTTTGTCGCGTTCCCGGGCTCGTCCCCTGGCGCTTCCCTTGCCCGCTCCGTGGCGCGTCCCTTGCCACGTCCCCTGGCGTGTCCGTTGCCACGTCCCCTGGGGCGGCCCTTGGGACGTCCCCTGGTGCGACGTCCCATGGTACGCTCCACGGCACGCGCCTTGGCATGTCCCATGGCAAATCCCTGACACGTCCACAGCACGTCCCATGACACGTCCCCTGGCGCAGTCCGTGGTGCGCCCCTTGGCACATCCCGTGTCGCGACCATGCGCCCTGCACTCCGTGTCGTCTCGCTCCGTTTCGGAACTCGGTCGCATTTTGAGCTCGAGCTGATTGAGCGTCCCGCACGTTTTGACTGCAACCAGCTCTGGGCCAGCTGTCCGTTCGGGCAGCTCGAGTTGAAGTTTCAGACCAGTTCGGTCAGGATTCGGATGCTGAGGACGACCTGATCTACAGCACTAGTTGGCACCACGAAACTCATCGCGGCACTGCACGGCACGACCCCTGGCACGGTACATCACGATCGATACCTTCTGCATTGCAGTTGCCCGTCGCCCAGTCAGGTGTCTCGAAACGTTTCCATACGTTGTTTTCCGGGTTCGTGGATCGATCATGTTTTCGTCCGCCCCCCCGGCCCGTCCCCTCCCATGCCCCCTCTGCATGGGGTGGGCGGATCAGTCCCATGCTATCAGTATCTTTTAGCCGACCCCCATCCCCATCCTCATCCCCTTCGAGACCCTTACCAGATTACCACCCCAGTTGGGGATACACCCCTCGAAACCCGAAGGGAACGGCCTGTATCCCCATCTAGGGGGGGAAATCGACCAGTGGGGCCCAGGCCACGCCGCTGGGGATGGGGGTCGGATAAACGATGCTGCTGTTATGCAGTATCACCCCCAGCTTATGCTCTGGTATTGTAGTTCGTGTGGTTGCTATACTGATGCAGGGCTTCGTGAACTTGGCAAGGGTTGTACTCGTCGTGTCACCCCCGCTCGAGCTGAATATCTCGGCAGGATCGCTTTTGGAATGTGGCCAAAGGTTTCAAGTGTTGTTGAAAAGCGTAGTCGCGTAGCCGTTGTCATGTATAGTAGTGCCCCTTGTGTAATTGGTCACGTGATGTAGGCACTAATGGAATGTCATATGGTCACACTCATACTCATATTCGTACTCATACTCAGATTCCCCCTTCCCCGAGAGCTGCTGCTTGCAGGAGCGTCCTGCTGCTTGATACAACGTTGTGCTGCTCGCTGCTGTTTGCAGCTGCTGGCTGCTGTTTGCTGCCGATGTTTGATGCTTGCTGCTAGGGACTCGGTACACGTTTGATGCAACTTTGGCTCGCGATACAGCGGGTTCTGTGGATTTTTCTCCAGTCCATGGTCGCTCCGTTCTGGAACATGACCGGGCCGTGGAGGAACGCCGTGGCGACCGCCGCGACAGTGGTGACCGTGGCGTTGACTGGATTCGGGGCTCTGCTCGTGAAAAACGTCAGCCTCGTGAACACTTTCGACGGCGCCTTCTGCGCCATCGTCTTCGTGGCGGCCATACCTGGGTTCTGGGGGTCCTGAAGAGGGGAGTTTCTGCTCGATCCCTCCCGTGGTTTCTTTCTCTGCTCGGCATGTCTGGTGTCAGGTGGTGTAGTGCTTTGTGGTGTCGTGTGGTATGATGTGTATCCACTGCCGTGCATCGCCACGCAAGGCACATGAAAGGTAGTGGCGAGTAGCTGCTTGTGAATCGAAACTAACTTCACGGTTGATGCGAAAATGCATCTGAATGTGCAGTGGAAGCGCGTAGCGTATCGTAGCGACACGTCAGGTGGTGTTTTCTTTTGGAAAGGGCGTGGGCCCAGGGTTCTCTTGTGGTTTGTGAGATGTCCCCAGTACCATGCCTGGCGTGGGCAGGCGGCTTGCCTTTCAAGAATTTCGCTACAAATGAACCCCACATACTTACTCTATGTCCTGTGTGTACCATCGGTGTTAGTATCATAACCTGTACCATCACTACTACTATTACAACTACTACTACTACTACTACTACTGCTACAACTGCTACTACTACAACAACAACTACTACTACTACAGCTACAAGTATTACTATTTCTACTATGACTACTACGACTACTACGGCGACTACTACTACGACTACTACTACGACTGTACGACTACGGCTACTGCTATAACAACAACAACTCGTACTACTATGCTTATTACTATTATTAGTACTGCTACTACTACTACTACTACTACTACTACTACTAGTACTACTACTACTACTACTACGACTACTGCGACTGCTTTTTCTACTACTACGATTGCTATTGTCACTTCTACTACTACTACTACTACTACTATATACTGGTACTGGTACTGCTGCTACTATTACTTTTACCTATAGTATTGCAACAACGACGACGACTACTATTTCTACTTAATATTTGTACTGGTAGTCGTAGTAGTCGTCGTAGTAGTAGTAGTAGTGGTGGTAATAGTAGTAGTACTACTACGAGTAGTGCTTCTTCCATCACCTGTATATTATACGTATTTTTGCTCCATTGTTGTAGCTGCTAATATTCGTAATATCAGGACTACTGCTGTCGCGATCATTATTTATAGTACTTCTACGACTACTACTGCTGCTGCTACTACTAATACGGATACTACTGCTAGTACTACTACTACTACTACCACTGCTGCTGCTACTACTAGTTCTATGACTACGACTGCACTACTACTACTACTACTACTACTACTACTACTACTACTACTACTACTACTACTACTACTACTACTGCTACTACTGCTACTACTACTACTACTACTACTATTGCCACTTTTACTACTACGAGTATTAGTACGACTACTACCACTACTACTGGGACGTTTGCGAATACGACTACGACTACGCCCACGACTACGGCTACTTTCTTTTGTTAAGAAAAATTAAACTGCTACTTCTACTATTACTATGACGCTATTAGTACTAGTACGAGACGACGACTACTACTACTACTACGGCTTTTACGATTACTATTACAATTACTGCTACTACTACTACTACTGCTGCTGCTGCTGCTGCTGCTACTACTACTACTACTACTACTACTCACTACTAACTACTAACTATTACCCACTAACTACTAGCTACTAACTGCTACCAGTAGTAGTAGTACTACTACTACTGTTATTATTACCTCTACTACTATACCACCACCACTACTACTGCTCCTGCTACTACTACTACGATACGACTACGGCTACTACTAATACTACTACTAGTACTACTACTTTACTACCACCACTACCACTACAACTAGTAGTAGTACTACTACTACTACTATTACTACTACTACTACTACTACTACTACTACTACTACTACTACTACTACTACTACTACTACTACTACTACTACTACTACTACTACTACTACTACTACTACTACTACTACTACTACTACTACTACTACTACTACTACTACTACTACTACTACTACTACCTACTATTACTACTACTACTACCACTACCACTACCACTACCACTGCTACTATTATGACTGCTGCTATGACTACTACTAGGGCTACTGCTATTACTGCTGCTGCTGCCGCCACTGCTGCTGCTACTATTACTTCTGCTGCTACTGCTACTGCTACCTATTTCGAAGACGCTTAACGGCGAGTCACCGCCGCCTCTGCCTTTTAGGATAAGCCGCTGTCGCCAAACAATTGGGCAAAGTTTGGTCGCGCTGTTGGACCATGCCCTCCCCCAGCCGTTGTGGAAGCCCTTTGGGAACACGTGGGGGAGGAAGTGGAGGATAAGGAGAGGGAGGAACAAGGAGGATGAAGAGAACGATCAGGAAACCTCTTGGGAGCTTCTTGGTCATTCTTGGGGTCTCCTGGAAGCTTTCTAGGGGCCTCTTGGAGGCCTCTTGGGAGCCTTCTTGGGCCTCTTGGGGGGCCTCTTGGGGGCTTTGGGGGGCTTCTTGGGGGCCCCTTTGGCCGTCTTGCGGCGTTCCTGGCCCGTCTGGCGCCGTCGGAAGCCGTGTTCGGAGCCTCTCTTGGCCGTCTTGGGGCCCTCTTGGGGCGCTTCAGGGTCGTCTTGAAGCCTATCTTGGGCGTCTGGGAGGACCCTGGGCCATCTTGGGGCATTTAGGGGCCATCTTGGGAGTTTTTTGGCCGTTCAGGAGCCATCTTGAAGGCCTCATGGGCGATCTTGGGGCAATCTTGGGGGCCTCTTGGGCCGTCTTGGGCCGTCGGACCCCTTCTTGAAGTAAATGCCAACCATCCTTGAACAACACAGGAAATCAATGATTTTGACATCTTCGGGCCTTCCTGGCGGACCTCATGGAGGCTTCTTGGGTCGTCTTTGGGGCCTCTTGGGCGCCTCTTCGGCCGTGTTGGGCTCTCTTGGACCATCTTGGCGGTCTTGGAGGCATTTTGGGATCGTCTTGGAGGTCATCTTGAGGTTATCTTGAACTCTCTTGGGGGCAATCTTGGCCGTCTTGGAGGGAGGCATCTTGGAGGCCATCTTGGGGCCATTTTGGCCGTCTTGGAGGCCGTCCAGCCGAACACCGACGACCCAGAGGTTCGCTGGGTGGCCGGCGCAGTGAGCCGAAGCCCCAGGGGGGAGGTTCTCAAAGAGCCAACAACCATCAACCACGCGCAGAGGGGGTGAGGGGAGGGGGGAGGGCTTCTTAGAAGCAGCCCTGCGTCTTAGAAGGCGCGGGACTTCTCTGTAGATTCAGGGCCCCCGCCTTGTAAGAAACAGCCTCCTTCTAAGAAGCCCCCTCCCTCCCTCCACCTCCTTGTGCGCGCCGAGAAAACCATCTGACGTTCAGCACGCCGGGCACCCCTGTGATAAATCGATAGGGGGCGGCGGATGGCAAGCCACAGGGGGCGGCGGAAGACGACGACTACGGCGAATCACCGCCGCCCCCTGCCTTTTGGGGCAGCGGCGCCTATGTGGCCGAAAGTTGGGCTGCAGCTATCGGACCATGTGTTCCCCCCGTTGTCGTTGAAACCTTTCGGGGAACACGCGAGGAAGAGGAGAATACGGAGGAGAAAAAGTAAAAGGGAATAGGAGGAGGATCATGACCAGGAGGAGGAGGAGGAGGAGGAGGAGGAGGATGAGGAGGAGGAGGATGAGAGGGAGGAGGAGAAGAAGGAGGAGGACTTCTCTTGGAAGCCTCTTGGGGCGCTCTTGGGGTCTCCTGGGAGCTTCCTGGGGGCCTCTTGGAGGCCTCTTCGGAGCCTCCTTGGGCCTCTTGGGAGCCTTTGGGGGCTTGGTTGGGGCCGCTTTGGCTGTCTTCGGGCGTTCCTGGCCCGTCAGACGCCGCCGAAAGCCGTCTTGGATGCCGTCCTGAACCGACTTGGGGCCCTCTTGTGGCGTTTCAGGGCCGTTTTGGAGGCCATCTCGGGCGTCTTGGAGGCTTCTGGGGCTATCTTGGGGCCCTCTTGGGGCCGTCTTGGAGACCTCTTGGGCCGTCATGGGGCCATCTTGGAGGGCTTCCTGGGCCGTCATGAATCTTGGAGACCTTTGGGGCCATCTTGGGGCGATCTTTGGGTCCGTCTTGGGCTGTCGGAAGGCAGAACAGAAACACATGCCAACATCCTTCGAACACCTGAGGAAATCCACTTGTTTTGGCCTCTTCGGGCCCTCCTGGAGGACGTCTCGAGGGCCTCTTGGGCGTTTCCTGGTACGTCCCCTGGCGCGTCGCCTGGCACGTTCCCTCGCACGTTCCGTGGCGCGTCCCGTGGCGAGGTCCCCTGGCATGTCGCGCGGCGCGTCCCCTGGCATGTCCCGTGGCACGTCCATTGGCACGTTCCGTAGCGCGTCCCCTTGGCACGTCCCGCGGTGCATCCCCATGGCACGTCCCCTGGCACATCCGCTGGTGCGTCCCCTGGCACGTTCCGTAGCGCGTCCCCCTGGCATGCCCCCCTGGCATCGCCCAGTTGCATATGCAATTGAGGCCCTTGATAACGGTCCCATGCCTCGCAGTTCTCAATCCCTTTCTGGGTTCGTGGGTCGATCATGCTTTCATTCGGAGCCGATCCATGCGTTGTTGAAAACTTTTACGATTCTCAGGACAGAGAGAAGTCGGATCCGCGGCACCCAGGCCTGCCGCTGTTAATATTGCTAAGGCCTTACGGCCAGTGCCGCCGACCCTGGGTACCTCGGCCCTCGAGGGTGACGGGATGCGCGATAAGACGTCGGAGGTAAATGAAGACGTGGCGGAGGAGGAGGCGGAGGAGGAGGAGGAGGAGGAGGAGGAGGAGGAGGAAGAAGGGGAGCAGGAGGAGGAGGAGGAGGGAAAAGGAGGAGGAGGGAGGAGGAGGAGGAGGAGGAGGAGGAGGAGGAGGAGGAGGAGGAGGGGGAGGAGGAGGAGGGCGAGGAGGGCGAGGAGGGGGAGGAGGAGGAGGAGGAGGAGGCGGAGGAGGAGGAGGAGGAGGCGGAGGAGGAGGAGGAGGAGGCGGAGGAGGAGGAGGAGAACGGATCAAAGGAAAGGCCCCCCCCCGAGGAGGAGGGAGGTAGGAGGGAGGAGGGGGAGGCGAAGAGGGGGGAGGAGGACACTCCCCCACATGTTCGGGGTGGGCAGAACAATCTGAAAAGTAGGCCGGGGGGAGGGTGCGCATCTGGGTGGCGACCCCTCCCCAGGCCCCCCCCCGGACCCCCCCCCCGGGACCCCCCCCCTCCCCGTGGGGAGGGTAGGGAGGGGCTTCGCCACGACTACGATTTCTTTCTGTTTCGTGTTCGATTTTCTTTTATTTCGGGCGACGACGATGACGATGACGACGACCACGACGGTGATCCACGCAAGACGACGACACCGGGATGCGTCTTCCACACGCCGACAGGGTCGGCGGATTCTACGGGGGAAGGGGTTTGGCCGCGAATTGCCGCACGGACCCCATGAACTCTCACCGCGTACGGGTTGCACAACATCCGTGCATCTCTCCCCACCCTCCAGCTGCTGCAAGCAAATTGCCCAGAAGCCGCGCGTTTGGTGGCGCCGACGCTCTCTCGCCAACCGTTTATCGCCGTTGGCGACTCAAAGAGGAAAACAAAACACCCTCGTCCTGTGTAACTAATGCGATGTTGCGTTGTGTGGTGTTTTGCAGCGTGTGCTGCCGTGTAGTAGCATCCTGTGATGCAGTTCGGTGTGTAGGACGTGGGCGAAAATCACAGTGTACTTCTTTGTGAAGTCCTGTGGTGCAGCACGATGTGTTTCGGAACGATGTGCCCCGAGGGGGTGACACATTTGTTTACAGACGAAACCGATGATAAGGATGAGTAACCTTCCCCAGGATACCCTTGTATCTTTACCTCTTCGGCCCATCCTTATCCACTTTCGACGGTGAGCCCCGTTCGAAAACTTCGACGCAGGCGTCAAAGGGGCTTGCATCCTTATCGTGCATCTTTACTTTTCATGTTCTCCAAGTGGGCTTTCCCTATAGGACTTCTAATTCAAACCTTACTACTTGGTCCGTTGCCCCCCTAATTCCTATGCGCCCCCTAGTTCCTATGGCCATGCCTATGCCTATGCCTCCCCTCTAACTCCTATGCCTACGCCTATGTCTATGCCTATGCCTATGCCTGTGCACCACCTCTGAGCGCTCCTATTCCTATGCCTATACTTGTGCCTATGTCTCCAATGCTTGCTTGCTTGCGTGTTTGCGTGCTTGCTTGTTTGCTTACTTGCTTGCTTGCTTGCTTGCTTGCTTGCGCGCTTGCACGCTTCCTTGCTTGCACGCCTGCTTGCTTGCTTGCACGCCTGCTTGCTTGCTGAGTTGCGGATTCCAAGCATGCTTGATTCTTTTGATTTTTTGATTGGAATCGTCTAATCTATTTGCAGTCAACGCTGGCTGATATTGATTGTATGGCAGGCCAGCCACAACTGGGGGAGCTGTGGTCCTTACCCCCCTGGGGGACCCATCGAATTCGACACCCCTCTCGAGAGATCGTCGATGCGATGGGTTCCCCCAGGGGGGTAAGGACCACAGCTCCCCCAGTTGGCTGGTCGGTATGGGCGGGTGCAATCACAGTCGTTCTGCTCCCCAGTCTCGTCGGCTTGCAGCTGCTCGAGCGGCGGTCGCGCGCCTGGCGTGCGTCCATGGTTGCCCTCATCGTTTTCGGGGCGGTCACGGGCGTCCTGGGCATGATCTACACGAAGAACTACCCTCAGGAGCAGATGATCGGGGCGACCAAAAAGGCGGTGAGGACCAGGGGCGGGGTGGATATCATGGCCAGGGCCATGATATCTCTCCACATCTCATGGCGCCTCTTCACATTATAGTGGCCTCCGGCCAGTGCCGCCGATCCGGGGCGCTCCTGATTATGCTCGGGTTCGCTTGGAGGCCTATGGGGCCGTCTTGAGGGCCTCTTGGAGCCGTCGTAGGAGGAGGCCTCATGGGGTCTTTGAGCCTCTTAGGGGTTTCTTGGAAGCCCTTTTGGCTGTCTCAGGGTGTTCCGAGCTCGTCGGAGACCGTCGGAAGCCGCCTTAGGCGCCTCGCTGTGCCGTCTGGGAGCAACCTAGGGGCGCTTCAGGGCCGTCTTGGAGGCTATCTTGGCCGTCTTGAGGGCCTGTGGGGCCGTCTTGGGACCCTCTTGGGGCCGTCTGGGGAGCCTCTTGGGCCGTCATTTGGGGCCATGTGGGAGGCCTCTGGGACGATCTTGGGGACCTCTGGGGCCGTCGGAAGGCCGAAAAGAAGCGCACAAATCCTCCAAAAGCAGATAGGAAATCAATGCTTTGGGTCATCCTGGGCCATCTTGGGTGCATCTTGAGCCGTCTGGGAACTGTCTGGCGGCCATCTTGGGCTCTGGCCCAGGGGTGGGATTCTGGCGGATTTTTGCGAGTCCCAGCCCCGCCCAGAGAGCGGAGC